TGACAAGAGCCCTGGGATCCTGCTGGCCCACTGTGCTGACTGCCACCAGGCCCACAGCCACCTAGGTCCTCCCAGCTCCCCATGTGCAATGACCACCTGCCCATCTACCATGTGCTGTCCCAGGGCTACTGCTGTGCGCCTGCCACTTTGTCCCTATCTGATACGCCAGACCCTAGGAAGGGACACTGACGATGGGCTCCAGGATGCCACCACCAGGGCTGCCATTGCCCTCTTGGGCCTCCAGCCCCACTGCCTCTGGGCCAACTGGGCCAGCCAGGACTGGTGGCAGCACATTGTCCAGTACACCTGGGATGATGAGCAGTGCCTGGAGACCTTTAGAATCACCTAGGCCACCTTCCAGGATCTCCATGAGCAGCTCCAGGCAGCACACTAGCATGCTGCTGCCCTTCCCTGGAACACTCACCTGGCTCTCACCCTGATGAAGCTGGCCACACCTGCAAGCCTGCAGTACATCACCCACCTGTTTGGCATGGGCAAGGCCACTGCTGAGGAGGCCATCCTGGAGGAGTGCAGTGCCCTCCAGTATGTGCTGGGACACACTGGCAGTGGTGGTGGGGTTTCATGCCATGGGATTCTCCCAGTACATCAGGGCCCTGGATGGGACCCAGATCCCTGTCACCCACCTGCCCCATGGAGACTGGCCCATTATAGCCCTATTATAGAGGTGCTTTCATTCCATGGTAATCCAGGCTGTCATGGACCATTGCAGGGCCTTCACACACATGCGTGCCAACTGGCCCAGAGTCACCCATGAGGCCTGCATCTTCAGGAATTCTGGCCTAGTGGAGAGTGGGTGCTTTACACTGGGAGTACCAGGCCTGCAACTGTGTGCTGTGCTGGTTCCACTCCTTCTCACTGGGGACCCTATCTACCCGCTTCTTCCCAACTCATATGGTCCTACACCAGCAACATGGAAGCCCATCTGGCCCACTCTAACCACTGCCTGGGCTGGACTCACGCCCTGGTGGAGCATGCCTTCAGCCCTCTGAAGAGACACTGGTGCAACCTCACTGTCTACCTTGAGTTCACTAAGGATGACCTTTCTCGGATCATCGTCACAGCCTATATGCCGCATAATATCTGAGAACCAGGGGGAGATCCTCCACAAGGCCTGGATGGAGGAGGTACAGTGCACGGAGGATACCTGGCAGTGGGAGCACAACCTATGGTGGCAGTGGCAGCACCCCTCTGCTCAGGCACCAAGAGAGCTACACACATACCAGCAGCAGCCAAGGCACCAGGTGTGGGAGGCACTGGCCAACCACCTCCTCCAGCACTCCCTACTCTAACCCACCTGCACCGCCACTCGTGGATCCGCAACCCCCATGCCCACCCCCAGCACCATGCTCCCTGCAGACATCTCTCAGAAGAACAAGTTTTTATTCCCCTCACATCAACCAGAGCACTCCTCCCACCTCCTCCCCAGTACAGCCCCCCTCTCCCAACAAACAGAGCCCTTCCACCACCTATCAACAATAAAACACCTTCCTCCCCATGAAAACTTTGTACAATGTCTTTTGTGTGCTTTCCCAGGGTTGGGGGCTGTGGGATGGGAGCACCTAGAGGGCAGAACCCAGGGATAGATGACCAGCACCCCGACTTCTGGCCATTCCCCTGAGGGTGTGCACGCCATGATGAGTGAAGTGGATAGAGGGTTCACCCAGGGGCAATGGTGGCTGGTACTCCCCTGGCATGGGCAGCTCCCCCTCAAGCAGGCAGTGTCCAGGCCCAGCAGGACTGGCATTTAGACCTGACCCCACTGCAGGCAGCTTTGGCTCTGTATCCACATGGCACTAGGGTGAATGGTGAGGCTGGGTCTAGGCAGAGGGAACAGGTGGTGCTGGACCCATGAAAGGGTCTAGGGCAGGGTCTCCCGGCTGCTGGAGGTGGTGCAGAACCTCTTCCCAGGCCTCAGTGGGGGCCTGTTGCTGGGCAGTGGGTGGCTGCCAGGAGACAGGCAGGTCTAGGGTTGGGGGCTGGGAAGTGGGCAGCAAGAAGGTGAGTGGCAGGGCCAGAATGGTGTCCAGCACCTGGTGGTCATCATCCATGGCCTGCACTGCCCAAGCCAGGATGGTGTTCTGCTCCCACAGCACCTCCACCCGCTTATGCTCCAAGATCAGAAGCTGTGCCCGGAACTCCATGTCAGCCCAGTCCCACACCTTCTTGTGCTGGTCCTGTGCATTCTCACGGGCAATGTCCTCTACCCGTCACCTGTCCAGGAAGGCCACATCCTCCATGTGCCAAGCCCAAACATCTGCCAGTTGGTCCTCCAATGCCATGATCCAGAAGGTGGATCTTGTCCAGGGTCCTTCTCTAGTAAAGCTGGCACATCTGTAGGGCCCCAGCTGTGAGTGTCATCAGCCCTGATGCCACATCCTAGCTGCCAATCACAGCTTCTACCCACATGCAGCCACAGGTCCCGTAGAGCCATGAGAAAGAACCTGTTTGTGAGAGTTTGCAAAATTTAAGAGATAAGATGCTGTGTGCCAGGGGCTGTGTGGTGCCCAGCCTCAGATCAGGGAATGGGCATACATGGGTGCCCAGGAACCATGTTAAGTCAGGCAGGCAGGCCCAGGCTCAGGCACAGGCCCAGGCCCAGGCCCAGGCCCAGGAGGCCACCAGCTGAGCCCTCTGTCCCCACTTACTCCCCAAGGGCTGCTGGTGGGCTGCTAGGTGCTGGCTGCATGCAGCCTGCCTCCCCTGGCTTGTTCCTAGGGTGGGATAGGCCAGGTTCCTGGCACCACCTGCTGCTGCTGCTCCAGACCCCAAGGCCCACCACCATTTCTCTTACAGGCCAACTACATCTGCACAGCTGCCCAGCCGATAGTGGCTGGGTTCAGGGAACATAGGGCTCCTGGATGACTGGGGGGAGGAGCTGCACATGCTCCCACCCCCTGTAGGGGTCTTCTCTGGGGAGGTGCCCTGGGACCAGCTCCCTGCCACTGCCACTGTGCCCCAAGTGTGCTCCTGTTTTTCATGCCCCAGGTAGGGCACCAGGAGCTGTTTCCATGGACTGAGGTGTGCCAGGCCCACTATACCCCGCTGCTGCTGATAGCTTCGCTGTTTCACAGGGCGCTCCTGTGCACTTGGCATGGGAACCTGAACTTCAATGGAACAGGGGGCAAGCCAAGGATGCCCCACAAACTCTGCCACTACCTGGAGAGCTCCCTGTGGCTGTGCTAAATGTCCCTGCCCCCTGCAGCCAAGGAGAACATCGCCATTGGCATCAACACATTCCCAGCATGTCAGAGGCCCATGCCCACCTAGCTATGGGGGCATGGGCTGCTCAAAAAAGTTTTCCACTGTCTCCTGCCTCCCTTCATGATGTGGAGGTGGAACCTGGGGCCAGGTGAGTAAAGCTGGGTTGGGCAGAGAGGGATAGCAGGGGCTGGAGGCCAGGGCCACAATGCGGGGCTTACCACATGGCTGGGGCTGGCATGGCTGTCAGTTCCACATATTCCTGACCAACAGCAATGGCATGCAGCTCTGGGTAGCATGTGGCTCTGGGTAGCCACCATGGCAGGTGGGTGCCTGGCTGGGGCCACCCCTGCAGAGGACCTGGTGCTGGTGGAGGCCAGAAGCTGCCTGCAGCTGGCCCTGGGTACTGGCAATCAGTCTGGCCTCCTAATGGCAAGGCTGACCTGGATGCAAATTTGCTCCTGGATCATATCGACATGTGTGTTACTGTGCAGTAACTGATCATGAGTAAATCTGATACCTGCATTTGCAGGTATCAAATTTACTCATGAATAGGGGTTTGTACTGCACAGTAAGCATGCACACATGTAGATGTGTGTCCTTACTGCGCAGTTAAGTGTCTCATGTAGATGTGACCAAAGTGATGTTCCTCATCTTGTCTAACATCTCTCCCAAATTTACTGTAGGTCCAGTAAAAGACATACCAAAAACTCCTTACCTTTTATGTATTTCCTAGGCCTTCATGGCTACGACAACATTCCAACCCTACCTGCGGGTATTTACACTTTCTAGGTGACCCCACAGCTTGGCAACTATCGCATGCCTATATCCTGTCAGCATGCAGAAACTGGAATTCCTTGGTCTATGCCACTTCAGGTGCTCAACCCAGTAAGTATGTTCCTGTATGCCTAATACATACTGGTAATATCAGGATGTCTGTGAAATGCACTAGTAGCAAGGACTTTCTTTTAGAACAGTCAGAAGAGGAAGCAGTGGTAGCTGCAACTATAAGAAACTAGAAGTAATAATTCTCACCCAAGAACTGGAAGAGATAGATTCAATTCCCTTCTCAGTTCAAACCTAAATCTTCCACATCCCATGACAGTGCTCTGAATGCCACAAAAATGAATTAAAAAGGCACAGAACATGCACACAGAAGGGATGACAACATTGCTGTTTACAAGTTAGGGGACTCACTGAGAACGTAGTCATCCTAGCTTGCAGACTCTACCACTTCATACATTTTTCATTAAACAATTACTAGATAAAATACAGTGGCAGGGACTAAAATCCAAGACACCCCATTCCCAGAGAAGTGGGCTCCCTAACTGACTGCACAGTTATTTTCCCCTTCTCTCTCTGACCTAATAAACACTAAAACTGATAACCCAATGTGCATCACTACCATGACAGTCCTCCTCTTCTTCCTGTGTTTTAAAAGAAAAAAAGTAGAGAGACTCCTACGCAGTTCTTTGAAAGAAAGTATAAAGGCCTAACTTCAGAAGAGAACTCTGGTCATTCTCATTGGATCAGGGTACCTCTCCACTACCATGAATGACCTACCTAAGCCTCAGTGAGAGGAAGGCTTTCAGACATTGTGACAGGGGATACCTTAATGGCCAGATCACAAAGCAGCCAGCCCATCTTGCCTGCCACAACTTGGTTGTTAATTTGATTTACTATGTTGGAGGTTTCCCATCCCTTGCCCTGATGCCAGGGGGCACTATCCACAGCTTCAAACCTCCAGTACACTGTGGGCCATGCCTTGCAGATGACATCTAGATTATGATTACTTCTCCCAGCCTGAGGCCAGGGCAAACTCAGTCCGTAATTGGGCTCCATTCACTATCACTCTCACTCTGCCCCTCCTCTCACATGAGCCTCTTGTATACCACCCATTTTGGACCACACTAAACTGCCCTATCTACTCCTGAGCAACCCCTTGTGGGCTTTTGGGCTTAGCTACTCTCTCCCTGGTACCACCATGCAGTAACTTTGGTTCCCACAAGTTCCCTTACTCTACTTTTGTAGCTTTAGACAAGTCGAGCTTGGGGCTGCATTTTCCCCAAGCTCTTCACCAGACACCTCTATACCATGCCCCACCCTGGGGCCTCCTCATCATACCTACAACTAGCTTACTCAGGGGGCTTGCCCTTGCACTGGCCTTCAGGCTTACTCCCAGTTCGGCCCTACTCAGGGGCCCCCTGGGACTGTCCCTCAGGCCTACTCCCAGTTCAGCCCTACTCTGTGTGGGGCCTCACGCCATATTCACCAACTACTCCCTCTGGGGCCTCCAGGATCTCACACCCCTGCTGGGCTCTGGCACATAAAAATGAGCATAACTGGCCCCACTACTCCCACAGCTCTCACAATTACCCACCAGATGGTGGGGGCTGGGGTTAAGGTGCCCCTACTTGCCTTTCACCATGGAGGTTAGCAGTCCTGGCATTTAGTTGAGGCTGCCACAGGCAGTCCCACCAGGCCTCCCTACCCTGGCAGGGTGCAGTTTTAGGTCATGACCAGGGACCAGGGGCCTCCATTCTATCCTCATAGCTCCTGCCCTTACCTCCAGGATGTTCCTGAGACATAGCTCAATCAGCTGATGTTCCTCTCATGGCCCCTGGCAGCAAACTGCTGCCTCCCCCTATATAAGCTGGGTCTTAAAATGGCCACCCTAATCAGGTATCTGCTGGCTGCCTGCCTCAGCTCTTCAAGTGGCAAGCACCTGAAGGTGCACTGCCACAGACATGCACTGGTCTTTAGTATCTCCCCATTGGCTAGATCTAGAGTCTCTAGACAACTTTTTGCTATGCGTGCTGACTATTTTCAGATCCCATTTTGAGGTTCCTAACTCTTTCCATGTACTATATTTAAAGATTAGGTACCTAACTACAGGGTTCTGTATTTCATGCAGGCACCAGGAATTTAAGTCCTTTCTTATAACTAGCCTGAAACTCTTATTAATTTTAGTGATGCTAAAATCAGGCCCATCAAGCGTATTCCAGATATAGTTTGGCATATCTGTCAGCTGTTATATTAATATAACTTACATTAATTTTATCAGAGTCTCTTATGCAGCTCTCAGATTTTGTCTGCTTATTTAGATGAATGCACTTACTTCAGATTTTCCATGTTGCAATGAAATATTATAATGGCATTATTAACCTATATTCATCTTATGAAAAAGAATCAAGAGGTGACTTGTCAACAATGCACAAGTACTGTCAAAAGGAGGAAAAAATACCAGATACCAAAAAGTCCTTTAATCAAGCATAAAAAGGCATAAAAGGCCTAAAAGCAATAAGTGGCTTGAAGCTGATGCCAGACAAATTGAAATATTAATACTTTATTTCCAGGTTAGGAAAGTGACTGATTAACTATGGGGACAAACTACCAAGAAAAGTAGTGGTGGAGCATCTATTTTTTAATGTCTTCACATCAAGGACATTTTTCTGCACTTAGTCAAATGAAGTATTGGTCACAAGCATATGCATCTCCTTGAATCTTTGCACAAGCACACAGTGACCAGCTTCCAAATGGATGCCAGTCACCGTGTGCTTATGTAAAATTCAAGGAGGTGCATATTAACTTATAGTTTCATAGTTTCATAGTTTCTAGGGTCAGAAGGGACCTGAGCAGATCATCTAGTCTGACCCCCTGCCATGGCAGGAAAGAGTACTGGGGTCAAACGACCCCAGTAAGGTGGTCATCCAACCTCCTCTTAAAAACCCCCAGGGTGGGAGCCTGCACCACCTCACTTGGAAGCTGGTTCCAGACCCTAGCCGCCCTGA